GGGTGTAGGGGGCTGGAGGGGGCGACGGAGATAGGGAGGGGGGTGTAGGGGGCTGGAGGATGTTGTCCCTCCGAATATTTTGCTAACTGTGTTCTTTCTCCCTGACAGTGTCCTGTTCAGTGTGGGAACGCGACCCAGAATCGAGACCTCATCTGCGTTGTCAAAGTGGGGAACAATTTCACGGTGACAGCCCCGTCGGAGTGCGTGCACCTCGAGAAGCCTCCCTCTGTGCAGCCCTGCAATGCAGGTCCCTGCGGCGCCCGATGGTTCACCACCGACTGGAGCGAGGCAAGTACTGACCTTCCTCACCCCTATCCCCGAGGTGGAGGGTCTGCCCCCTGGGCAGGTGGTCTCCTCTATTGGACAGGGTTGGCTGGGCATTGGACATCTCAGCTCCAGGACATCCCTGCAGGGGTCCATCTTTAGCGGCTTCCTCAATGACCTTCCCTCACAGGAAGCTCAGGGAGTGGGGATGTGCACCGATGACTGACTGAACCCCGTCAGATACCGAAGCAACCCGATCTGGACGGTATCTAGGCTTGGGTTGGCCAGTAAGTTGCACTTTCACTGAGTGTCCCCACCACAGTGGCTCATCACCGCCTCCTCCAGGGCAACCTGGGGATGACTGACAATCAGGCATCGTCAGTTGCCTGTGGGCGAAACGGGAAAGGCACAGGAAGAGGTCAGCTCCTCTGACCTCCCCGCCCCTGTCGTGTCGTGCTGTGCACTGACATCCCCCCCCACCCCGGCCCCTCCCCGACCCCCACAGTTGACCTGAACCCTACTCCCCCCACCCTCCATAGGTCTAAGCTCTCGAAAGGATGCTGGCGCGACACCACAGGGTTGGCTCTAATGCCCTCTTTGCCTCATTGAAGACGCGAGGGTAGCCCCAGGGAGTCGGTCACTCCAGCAAGGGGTCTGCCCAGAACCTGTCTCTCCGGCCTCCACAGAATGAGGGGTGTCTAGCTGTGGGGCAGTAGGGACGGCGACAGAGGGTCGGGGTGTTGGGGGTTGGCTGAGGGGGGTTTTAAGGGGCGACGTGAGGTCGGAGGGCAATGCACTGATACCACAGGTCTCCATGCCACCCACAGTGCTCCAAGTCCTGCATGGGAGGAGTCCAGGCGAGGGAGGTGCGGTGCCTGGATGATGGTGGCTTTCCCAGCAGCCTTTGCAACGAGGCCCAGAGGCCCAGTGACCAACGGATCTGCCACAGTCACCCCTGCCTCCCGGATCTCGGTGAGTGAGACCGTCGTGGAGGGCCTGGGAGGGGTTGGGTGCCGATGGGTTCCCATGGTGCTGGCTCCAGATGGTCAGGAGCAGGAGGC